ACAAGATTCAGAACCACAAATTTCACTCTGTATTTTCTTGATTGCATGAAGAAAGGATTTTTGAATGATAAGAAGGCAGATATAAACTTTGAAGAAGAAAACAACATCCTGAACAACTTCATTCAAATATCTGTCCTATTTAAAGCATTTTATGTAATGTTCAGTATAAACCAGGACATCAAAAAATATTTTTGTAAATGGAGGAAACAATGCGCCACCCAAAATACCTTAGGCCTTGAGTTACCTTATACGTAATTATGTTTATTATCTGTTATGTGTATTGTCTTTCATCTTGGCATGGGGTAATTTTTCCATAGCTGATTGAAAAAAATGTTCATATTTTGGCTGCTATTTAAACACCATCTGATGATTTCTCAACATTGAATGTCACTAGATGGGGTGCTGAACGGAAATGTTCAGTTGGTGTTTCCGTTTTGCTTCGCTTCTCTGATTTGTTTTTCAAAACTCCAGCAGATGCAGACAAAAAAGAGGAAGTGAAAGCTTTGAATAACACAATCGGTTTACATCATTTGTATTGTTTACTCTCTTGTTTAAATAAGTGATGCATATTATATTATGAAACATTTAGTTACATGTGTATAATTATACGCCATCTATACTCTGCAAAGTGTTTCTTTGTCGAGAAAACATAACTTAAAGAGGTTATATTAGAGCACATTTTAAAGATGTTATGCAAATGATTAACTAGGAAAAAGGATCAGTAAAGCAAAACTTATCCTTATAAACTCTTAAAAACATTGACAGCTTAGTCATTTTATCTTTGTTGTAAAGAATAAACACTCAGCTACACTTCTGTATTATGAAGCCACTCCTCTAATGTTTTCCCTCCTTTGTTGTCAGAAATCTTCCACACCTTCCTTCTCTGTTTTCAGAAACAGTGAACGGCCTCTTTGCAGATAATCTGGTGAAATTCCACTTCAGATTTTAAATTGTTTTCAAAACTTACCTCCTTTTTGACCTAAAATCTTTTGTCTTCGTCAGTTTCAGTAACAGGTAGGACTTTTCCTTTTTAAGTTTTAAATTGGAGTTTTGTACAGATTATTCTAACTACATGAAAATATGTTAAGCTGCTGATTAAGACATCACGCTTTCTCTTGCAGTTTCTTGTTTACGTCATGGATGACTTTGTTTGCAAGATATTAAATGACTGGGGCCTAAGCGAGTGGATAGAAACATTTAGAGGTTAAGTATAGCATTTCTTTACTATAGTGTTTTAAGGAAATGCAACATCTTTATATTGCAAAAGAAATTCAATCTATGTCAATCCACTTAACCAGCTGTTATATAATTTTTTATGCATAAATGTGGCACTTAAAGCTGTAGTTATTACAACAAATACTTTACACCTCATTATACCCTGAAAGTAAAGCAAGATTCTGACATAAATGTGTTTATTAAGCAAGACAATACAATAATCATAGAAAAGTCAGCGTGCAACACACCAGACCTAAAACAGAAAGATTCAAGATGCCAAACGACTTCACATGAATTACATCAACAGTGTCAGGTCTCCTAGACATAAAAGCTTGTGGTTATGAATTGTAGATTATATGAAATAAAGAGGGACCATAAAAGGTAAAACAAAAAAGTTGTTTTAGGGATAATAATAGTTGTGGAATCAGTAATTTTGTAAAAATTAATGATGTCTTGATGTAGGATTTTCTGTTTCTATTCATTAAATGTACATAAAGTAGTGCACCTCCCACATTTTAGGAATAAAATGTTGCTATAGCAACAACAGGTTAATTTCTTCCTTTAAAAAAAAATGTGGATGCATCATTAGCATGTAAATGACTAAGTGTGAACATCATGGACCATACCAGAAGTATTGTTTACTGGCTGCAAATTATGACATTACAAACAATCTTAGTGTTAAGCACTGAATGTCGCTGTGTTATCAAAGATGTTACAACAATATCAATGGATTTTGCTGTTAAAAAATCAATTAAATTCAGCGCAAATTCAAATGTAACGTTTGGCCCTGACAAAATCATTGACACGTCCTTTTGGGCAAACAGAAACATCCAATTTCAAATAATATATTTCTTGAACTACTGATGTTGTAAAGACCAACTACGGCCTTTATTATTTTGAGTCTAAGACATTTGTAACCCTGCTCTTTATGAAACATCTTATTCAACTTAAAAATTTAATTTTTATCACTTGTTAACAAACCACTTTTTTCATTAAAGAACACGGCATTGACAAGAAAAATCTGTACTGCCTCGAGGATCAAGACATTGAAAAATTGTTTTCCAAAGTGGGACCAAGAGCACATTTCAGAAAGAAACTGAAACTGTTGAAGGTAATTTGCTGCACTACATGACATGCAGGCTTGTTTTAGTAACACCATTCACTTTCTATGAAAATATATTGAATTTCACCCAAACTTTTAGATTGTGCTTATAAGTAAATCTAAATACTTATAAGCACAATTAGTAGTCACAGCACTGACTATAATCTTATGGATTCTTGGACATTTGTAAATGACATCAATGTCCTTGTCTCCAGGAAGGATAAAACAGAAATGAGGACACATTGCCCTTACTTTACCAATAAGATAAACAGATTGCGCTAAATGTTATGTCATTAACACAAACATTTAGAATTGGATTGAAATTGTAACATTCATGTTTTATCTGTATATCACTACATTATTTCATTTAGATTGAACAGGAGCAGAAAAACACAACTGTTAAGGCTGAGGTAAGTGTGACCTTTTTGTCCTTTGCTAAATGTAATTTATCCATGTTAATGGACAACTGGCAACTTTGTACAGTGTTCTTAATCAAATATGTCATCCGTGGTCTTTGCACATCACACCAACTAAATAAAAGGAGAATGAATGAATGAATCATGAATTTCAACTATCCCTACACTGTTCCTTAATATTGCTCCACTGCAGCTGAGCCTAAACTACATGCTGTCAACGTCTCTCTTTTCAGAACCTGCATAACTTGTAAGTGAAAGGAAATCTCTTCAGTAGGCCAAAGAATGTATGAAAGTGAATTATTTTACAGTATTAGTGGATACAATAATAATAATAACAATAATAATAATAATAATAAAACTAGTGTGAGGCTTAAGTAAGAACAAACTAGATCCTTTCATTAGATAGGCATTGATTTCACCCTGTCTCCATCCAGGAACATGAAGGTTTAGAGTGCCACTGTAAACCGAGGCTGTTTGATAAAGTACTTGGTCACAACAAGCATTAGCAAACTTGATCCATTAGCAATAGACCAAGTTTGCACATCAATCACACATCAATCTGACGTCTTGCTGCTGGGCAAATATTCTTCTGTTCACAGGAAATGAAACCTTGTCACTCGTCTTATAGTTTAGTTTCCTTCTTTGTAAGTGCTTTGATCTAAGGGTTTTGGCAGTTGTGAAACTTTGAGGACGATATGCTGCATTGTTACCTGAGAACAAAAGACATTGTATGAGTTGTTAAGATCACTTCTGCCTTTTAACTAATTATGATCACTGAAGCCTTTTTAAAGCTTTAGTGATCTAGTTTTTAAAAGCATTACTAGAGATACTCTTCACCGTCTACTAAAGGGTGGTTTGTTTACTACAATGCAAGTCATTAAAAAGTGTTTGTCCCATTGAAGACAGTTAAATAAATGTGTTCATTCTCAGGCAGAGCCATCCACAAGTGATGGAGGTGAGAATTACAGTTTCTTACATGTTTCTTACATATGTAACTTGTTGCAAAAATAAATCCTAGTCTGAAATCCAATAAACAGATTTTCTCTTTTTTTGTCTGAAGATACAAAAAAAGGAAAGCGAAAGCTGGATCAGGGGGTGTTTCACAAAGGAGAACCAACAGCAAAACGGTTTCGCAGGAGTATGTCAGCGTCTTCGTCTTCGTCATCGTCAGGTAATGCATCTTAAAAATGGCAACAGGCAATTGAAAGAATAAAAGCCTGTCACAACCCAACTTACAAAACAGTAAAA